TCCTTTTTCTTCTCTACTTCCTTTAAAAGTCTTTTAGTCTACAAGCACAATTAAGCAAGCTCGTTCCTTTACAACATCAAATATGAAATCATCAAGGAAAGGCCTAGAAATTTGCTGTGGAATAACAGCAACTTTCTTAATCGTTGTGGCTTTAGTCTTCACAACGTTGTGGTTCACAACATTCAAACCCAAAGAGCCAGAAATCACAGCCTACCCTGTTGGCCTAGAAGACATTAATGTGTTTTCAATATTTTTCGCCCGCAATATCACATTAAACATGACGATAACGATCAACAATCACAGAAACGTAGGAGCTTCGAGTTCAAGAACGCCACGGCTCACGTGAATTATCGCGGCGGCGTCGTGGAAGACACGCGCATCGTTGGTAGGACCCGCCACTTACTCCCGCGGTGAATAAGACAACGACATGTGGTCAGGCTGTCGAACTATATTTCCGCGTGTGATTCAGTACGTCTTGTTTTGTGTAAGCTCAGTTTTTTAGCATACAAAATGTCGACGCTTGGCCACTTAGGATACGTTTAGTTCATGGATTAAAACCATGTGATTAAAATCATTTTCAATTTACGTGTATTTTTTGTGAGAAAAAATACTGTATCGAACCACGAACTATGATTCGAATCAGAGAACGAATCCCCCAACTAAACAACACTTTAATGTAGCCAACTAATTATAATCCGCCACGTGGATACGTCTTTAAAGACACTTCAATCAGAGTGCGATGCGTGGAGTTGGTCTCGTTCGTTTCGCTGATTTGAGTTTAAAATTCGAGTTGAGATGTGATTTTATATGAGAGCATTTTACTGTAGTAAAAAAGTTAAATATAACTGTTTATGAGAGCTTTTTACTATAACAAAATTTAATTTTTAAACTTGAATCAGCGAAACAAACGAGGCTGAAGTAAGCTTAGCGCGTGAATCTTTTCCTAGCAACATGGAAAAAAAAAAAAAAAAAAAAAAAAAAAAAAGGGTGAAACTTTTTCCAAAAAAAAAAAAAAAAAAAAAAAAAAAAAAAAAAAAAAAAAGGGCGACGAATCGTGGGGGGCGACCCCACCCCAGAAACAGAAACCTTCATTCGTGACAGGTTGACTCAGACTTGTTGACACGAAGGTGAGAGAAATAATCTTATCCAATAAGCTCTGAAAAGATAAACTATCAAAAATCTTCTATTTTCAATTATTATGAGAATTTTTTGTTTTGCATACTTTCTTTTTTAATATGATACGATTTTAACTACATTTAATGATAAAAAATTGTCCATACCTATATCAAAGCCTAACTGTTTTTTTGGATTATCTGCCATATTCTACGAGGTGGTGGAAGAGAAAAGCAAAATTTTTTCTAGTGGTTCGGTTATTAATCAGACCTATATCTACCAGCGAATTTTATTAATAATGGAAGATTATAAATATCTTCTTCCACCAAAAAAAGAAAAAATTACAAATATCATTTTGGATTCTCTCTCCTGTTCTACATTCTGTGGTAATTCTATTTCAAATAGGCCAAAAGTTCCCCCAATTTATATATAGATTCTCTCTTTTATGGTAGGGAGGATATATTGGGATAAAATTATTTTAGTATCATGTGTTATAATAAAATATGCTTTTAATAATTTATGTTTCTCAAAATATTAAAAGTGAAATCTCAATATTTTTAAAAATATTTTCTTAGTATCTTTAAGTTGATTTTTAAAATATAAAATGACCTTAATATCATTCTATTTAATTAATAAAAAACTTATAGATCTAAAAAAAATCATGAACCTTTTCATTTTCTTGTTTTCTTTTAAATATTTTGTTGTTTTAAAATATTTTCAATTTTTTTAAAAAAAAAAATTTTGACGCCTATTTTATTTTTTTTTTATTTTTTAGCTTAAAGTTTATTTATTTTTTATGTTAGTCTTTTTTTACCCCTTCTTTTTCTTTTTGTTCTGAAATTTCATTTTATTTTTCATCTTTAGTTATTCTTGCCCTAAATTTTATTTCTTCTTTTTTACCCTTTTTTCCATCTCTGTCTTTTTTTTTTATTTCATAGTTTCTATTAAAATTTATATAAGAGCAGTTATGTCAAAATGAAAGTAAACTTTTCCATAATATTTGTGGAGCTCTAACTAAACAAATAAATTATCTTTCTTTTTCATTCTATTTCATTACCATTACTATTATCATTCTTATTATTGTTACTATTCTACCACTGCAACTAGACATACCCTCATTATCAACGTATAAAGAGTTAAAAATTATTTTACCAAAATTGGAAAAAAAATAGAGACTATGTGTGCGTTTGGAATTTGTTTCTATTTATTTTTTTAAAACATTTATGCACGTCTTTTACTTTTTTTTCCTTTCATTTTTAAGTTTTAACTCCATTATTTTTTAAATTTTTTTATTTCATAATTTATGGTCATCCTACAGTGGTTTAAAACGGTAAGTTTTTAGGTGTTTTACTTTTTTTTCCTTTCATTTTTAAATTTCAACTCCTTTATTTATTTTTTACTTTGTTATCTTAAATTTAGAATGTTTCATGTATTTCTATGATTAAACATAACTTTTTCACTTAAACTACTATTAATATATACTTCTTAAAAAATAAAAAATAATGTGCGGGGGATTTAAACTCTACATTTTATGGTAGAGTTAAGTGTGCAAATTTTGTATGTATACTCTTTTTGAATCTCTAAACAATAATTTTTGTCTGTTTTTTTCTTGTTTATTGTTGTTTGTATATTTTACATTATAAAAACTTTAATTATAACTAAATACGTGCATCGCACGTTCTAAAACTAGTGTATATTAAAAGGTAACTAATTAACAATCTTGGATCTTACAAAAACCAAGGAATTCAAAATGTCAAAAAGATGATTTCAAAAAAAAATGTCAAGAAGATGATTTGCGTCTGCATGATATCTTTGTATGTTCTTGTGTCCCCTGTTCTTTAAAACTTATTAATGGCTATAGTTGTTGTGTTTTCTTCTGTATAGCTTTGTCTTGCCTTTCTTCTTACAACTTCCTTTTTTTTTAGGTAGTGTTTTAATTATCTTTGTTTTGAGTGGTTTCTCTTTCAAACACACTGCCAAATCTTTGTGGTATTACTTCTGATCGTGGTTGCCTTATTATTGAGATGAACTCTTGTGCTAATAATTCTACTAAAAATAGTGGATTCTCTCATCCTCACAGTAGACGTAGCTCGTGATTAAGGATGAACCAATATAATTCTCGTGTGTTCTTACTATTTTGTGATTTTTAAATCGTGTTTAAGACTGTAAAATTTGCGCAAAACAATTTCGAAGTTGATCATATTTTTGGTGACGAATTTTCACGGTCAACCTATTACACGGCCAAATTTTTGTGGTATTACTTCTGATTGTGGTTCCCTTATTATTGAGATGAACTCTTGTGCTAATAATTTAAACCATGTTCATCTTGATGCTTTAGCAACGGAAAAAAAAAAGACGTTGATTGTTGGATCAAAAAAGAATGAAAAAGAAACGAATTAAAACGAGCCAAATAGTAGGCTCTCCTCTGGAGAATAGTTGTTTTGGTTTAGGTATTGGAGAGGGTGCATAGATTTAGTGGATGTTTGGTTTACGGATTTAGAGTTATGATTCAGAATTATTTTCAGTTTACGTGTATTTTTTATGAGAGAAAATACTGTACTGAGCCACGAATTATGATTCAAACCATGACACAAATCCTCATACCAAACAAGATCTTAGTATTTTATACCTTCGCTTTTTCACTTCTAACCTTTTAATCACTTACTAATTCTTCAAATTTTATCTTGTTACTCTGTTATGTATCAAATGTTCGTCTGTTCTTTAATTGTTGTTGTCGCTGGTTACGGTGGCAATTAAAATCTGATGGTCATTTAACTCTTTTACTCATTGCTGCCACCGCTTCTTCTGTAATTTCTTGGTCCTTAAAGAAAATATTAATTCCTAATACTATATTTTTATTTCAGTGAATTTACTTCAGAAATTTTCTCAATATGGTATTAGAGAAGGTACCGTGTTTCTCGAAATGCAATGAACACGGACATGTACTTTTTTTCAATTTTGAAGATTACTTATCCATCTTTCTTTCATTCTATATATATATATATATATATATATAGACACACATACATATTTACATTCTCCAAAATATGAGGCACAATTACAACATGATTTTCAGTTCCGCATTCAATAAACTTGTCCAACTGAACGTACACGAGATCCAACTAGTAAAACTAAAAAAAAAATGACCTTTTTTTAATTTTAGTTTTTATTAATTAATTTGATGGTTAATTAGTTTCAATTAATTAATGGTCAATTTTAATTTATTATTGAGTAATGTAATTATATGTTTATTACTGATTAATCACGATATAAAGTAAGTGGTTAACTAGCAAAAGATAACGATAGGAAGTGGGTTTTTTTTTTTTTTTCAAAATTAAAACGTTGTGCTATTTTGCAATGTATAAATATTTGTCTGTGTGTTATCAAAACAGGTTCGTTTTATTTTTTAAAAAAAAAAAAAAAATTACCATCTTTTATATAGATAAGCATCACTGCTTAAAAATTTAAATTTAAACAAAAAAAAAAAAACATAAAGTATCAACTATCAACTGGATTGAGAGAAGGAATCCGAATCCTTTTCAGGTAATGATTTGAGAAATAGTCAACTTATATCTGCAAAGCTTTCGTTTTCCCTTTTTTTTTTTTTTTTTCCTTTTTCTTCTCTACTTCCTTTAAAAGTCTTTTAGTCTACAAGCACAATTAAGCAAGCTCGTTCCTTTACAACATCAAATATGAAATCATCAAGGAAAGGCCTAGAAATTTGCTGCGGAATAACAGCAACTTTCTTAATCGTTGTGGCTTTAGTCTTCACAACGTTGTGGTTCACAACGTTCAAACCCAAAGAGCCGGAAATCACAGCCTACCCTGTTGGCCTAGAAGACATTAATGTGTTTTCAATATTTTTCGTCCGCAATATCACATTAAACATGACGATAACGATCAACAATCACAGAAACGTAGGAAGCTTCGAGTTCAAGAACGCCACGGCTTACGTGAATTATCGCGGCGGCGTCGTCGCTGAGGTTCCAATAGGGCAAAATCTCGTCCCTGCGCGTGGCAAGCTTAACACCACTACTTCGGCCGATCTTATGGTCGGAAAAATCATCACCAATCCGGTTTTCTTCGACGATGTTGCCGCGGGAAGCTTGAATTTGACCGCAACGGCTGCTCTACATGGAAAAGTTCGTTTATTCGAGTTTGTGAAGATACGTGCCACGGCTCTTAGCACTTGCGACATCTCCTTTTCAATTGCTTCTAGGAATGTGCAGTCTACTTGCAAGTCGAAAATCAAATTATAGTTTTGCTTAATTTGGTTTCCATATGCACTGCCTTATTGGTTAGTACATTCCTTTTCTTTTTTTTTTTCTTGAGAAGTCGTTTAGTATGAATTTTTTTTTTGTTAATATGTATTGGTTAGTATAGTTGCATGCTTAATAAGTTTTAGACGAATTTACATGTTTATATTACTAAGAAATTTATTATATATTAAACCCATATTTTACTTTTGTTCTTTTTCTTTTTCGTTTAAGTCTTTCATGTGTTTATTCATTATTCAAAGAAGGAAAAAACAGAATTCGCAACTTATTTGAACCCCTTGATGAATAAAAAGATAGAGCAGTAAATTTTTCAATTTTTTATTATTATTATTATTGATAATTAGAGCAAAACAAAATTGACACCATACAATGACGTCGTGGGGAGTGAGGGAACGAGTTATTCAAATCTCGTTTGTTTTATTGGTTCAAATGATGACTGAAGTTTTTGTTATTACTCATTTGAGATTGTACAAAAGACTATTTTGAGCAAGAATCATAAACTCGAAGTAATCACCCCGTTTACCTAAGTTAGCCAAATACAGTTTAGAAAATCTCTGAGTTTATATACAATTTGAGGTTTTTTCTTCATTACTTTTCTTTAAACAGGAAAAAAAAAAAAAAAAAAAGATAATTTTTCATCTCATTGAGCTGGTGAATTTCATCATCCCCAGTCGCTATATCCATAACATCCATGTCCTCGTCGCCAATTAGACCAAGCACAAACATGAATTATGAAACAGTACCTCAATATGATCACAACATGAGTTATTGATAAAGAATCGTGAGAAACTATTTTCAGGTGAGCAAAAGCACCGAAACGAATTGGAAACAAAATAAAACGATACAAGTAGAACCCATAGAGTACTTAAATATTTATAACATATTTTCCCAATTTAAGTGGCACATAATGGATAAAAGAATGACTGCACGTACGATACTTTAAATGGCAATTAGGGCTGATAATCCGAATAGCGACACGACTTGAAACTCGTACAAAGTTAGCAGGTTTGGGTTTATTATAAATAGGTTTGGGTCATAATCGGATTGACATGATTAACACCATTAATAAATGAGTTATGTTAGGGTTGACCTCTTAACACGAGTGACAAAATTGACACAATTAACTATATGCGTCATCTGCAATCTAATGATATGTGATACAACATAAAAGTTTATATGACATATTAAATACAAATAATGTGAATTTTAATATTTGTAGGTAAAATTCATTTATTTTTCTTAAAGAAAAAGATAAATTGACCAATAAACATATTAAATGTGTCTTGGCCGTGTTAAGTAAGTCATTATTATATTAATTATTTATTCAATATATTAATTTAAACGGGTTATACGGGTTGACACGATTAACACAATTAATGAATGGGTCGTGTTTGGATTAATATTTTTAACACGTTTAATAAATAGGCCACGATTAATAAACGAGTTAACACGAACACGACCCACTATCACGAATTGTCACTCTTAAATTGGCAGCTTCCCACAACAAAATCAGTAGTATGAATTCAGAAAATTGGGAGAAAAAAAAAACATAAACCCTTGTATTAATTACCAAATCCAACCCAAGCGGCATGTTTCCATGGCTCAAAAAGTTTCTGATGGATCTTGAGATAATTCATGATAGTGAAGGTATGAAAAAGTCATTAAAACTGTATTATAATAACAGTGCGGTAATAGCTAATATCAAAGAATCAAGATATCAAAAAATGAATAAACACATAGGCAGAAAGTATCATGTGATAAGGGACTTGATAAAAGAATGGCACGTAAAAATATATAAGATCGCATCATAAGACAATATAGTCGACCCATTCATGAAGACGGAAAACTCTGTTGGTTAAGGATCTTAAGAAACATGTCGAGGCCATAGAAATGCGTATCATGTCACATTTATTCACCTGAAATGCAAGTAAAAGATTGTTAGCGTTTATGTCCAAATGCCTTTAAGAATAAATATAACATTAATGTTATTTAGACATTTTAATATCAATAAAGAATTATTTATTTATTTCATATATCATTTATTCTCTTCTTTATATTTATTTCAAAGTAAAGATAAAATTCCTTATGACATCATAAAATAAATAGAACTAATAATCTTACTTTCGAAACCTCAAAATTTCTTTAAACCTCTACTCAAATCAAATTAAATCTAAACTAGCAAATTGTGGCATTACAATTTCCTCCTTTCTTATGAAAGTTTGTTTCGCTAAACTTATTCCTCTATTCTTTATGCTAAGTAACACATAAATAACAAACTTATAAACTATTAGATATCACATTACTTATAAAACTATATAAAATATAGATAAGTGCTTATATAATAAAGTTAACCAACAAATTTCTATGTAATCTGGAGAAGTTAGAGGATCATAATTTGCAGAACTACTAGTACAATCGGTGAGTATTACTCTAATTCATCGTTGACTTTCTCTATAATCTCGACTCATTCTTCTTATCACATGTTTCTTTACTTTCATAGCACTACTAATTGTTTTCAAATCAGATAGATCATTAAATACCAACTCATTTCTTTGGAATAGTTTCAACCCATTCCAATATAATTGCCTCTAATAATTGGAATCGAGTTGATGAGGAAAAGGCTCAACTATTTCTGCACTAAATCTTTTTGTATAGTCCTGAATTGTTTCTCCATCTCGTTGTTGCTAATTATTAATTGTATGCTCCTAATCTGCTCTTAATATTACAACATTATACTTTGCATTTATTGTCGTATAAAAAGTTGACCATGGTAAATGCTCTGTTTCTAAATCTTGGGATCACCATAACTTGTCTGGTTATGAACCATAACTTGACAAGTTATTGTTCATAATTTATCTGATTATAAACCATAACTTAACAAGTTTGTTCATAACTTATCTAGTTATAAACCACAACTTGACAAGTTTATCCATAACTTATTTAGTTATGAACCATAACTTGACAAGTTATGACCTATTAATTTTTATAACTAAAAATTAACCTATATACTTTCTTAAGTTTTTCATATTGGTCTATTTCCTACTATTTCTGATATTTGGCATGTATCATCTTCTCCAAGCCCATTTCTTTAGAATTCCAGTTCTTTCAGGATTTGGCCCATATTCTTCTTTTGGGTGGCCACGTTCCATGTTTGCTCAAAAATCTCATAAAACCACTCTTGAAACATTTTCATATTGCCTTTCAAAAATAAATGGCAAAAACATCACGGCCCACAACTTGACCACGTTGCGAAAAAAAGAGTCTAGCTGCCTCTTCCGCTGTGCAGTCCGTGGGTGCCGCGACATGATAACATTTCGGTTTTTCTTTCTTTAAGACATCCATCTCAAAATATACACATTAGACAAACACTTTCATACATCATACATAAAATATAAATAACTTTACTTGTGTTGTAGGTAAAAGTTCTACTCACTTCAACTTCTTAACCTTGGATGGTGTATTTATCACCACTCCATTATTCACTAACATTAGAACTAGTTCTCCTATTATCCTATTCACATATGATCAAGGTACCATATTGTCGATGAATAATATAGTTAATAAAAGTGAAAATTGAATCCAAATTACTTGATAGAAGCTTAACAAACGTTCTAAATAATCCTCTTAATTTGTGTCTTTATTTCTTCTCCTTGTATGCTTCGGAGCTGCTTCACTTGCTAATCCTTGTCTCATTAAGAATATGTTTGGTAGGAGGGATGGATGGAAGGAGGGAGAATGATGGAGGAAGAGCCCCGATCTATTGTTTAGTTGGAGGAAGAGAAGAGATGGAGGAATGTGACTTTATAACCCACCAAAATGGAATTTTTAATTGATAGAATAATCCAAATAATCCGTCACTTTTACAGTTAAAAAACTATTTTATCCTTTAAACAAATTATTAACAAATAATTTAAATAGATAATTTAGTAATTTTATAAATAATAATAATTCATCTTTTTAACTCTCTCTCTATCCTACTAAAAAAATAAAAGATTATTATAATTCTCTAAACATAGTAAATGATCATAAATTTATGAGGACCAGACATATGAATGTAAAAGAAAAAAAAAAGTAAAGTATGATAAAATTTGAAGTTTAACCATTATTTTTTCAACTCAATTATTTATGTTATTTTAAATAATTAAATGTCATTGTGACATTTTATTTTGTTCTTATTAATTGAATGACACTTTAACTTATTTTTGTATAAAGTGGTATAAATCCATCTTGAATGGTATTTTTTAAGTTTTTTCTCAAGTAGTATCTAGTCACCGGGGACCTGGATCCGAACCCATTGCCCGAAACTTACAAGTTACACCCGTCTGCGTCGCCGCTTAAGCCCTTCTTTCAATTTCTGTCGTTTTTGCCTTCTCTGACAAACCCTACCTAAACTCCCCTTAAACCCTAACCCCTGTACTCTTCTCTTCTCTTCTGCAAACCAGAAGGACACCATTGCTCACTACACTATCTCTCTCTTTGAATCTGATCGATTTCTCAGAGATTTGTACCTTTCAGCATGAAGAACAAGAAAGGCTCGGGCCAGAAGAAGGCCAACAAGAGGTTCTCTCTCAGCAAAGATTCGTTCTTCGCCGGCAATGACTCCAAACGACGCCGGAAGGTCGACGGCGACGGCGAAGGAGATGTCGTGGAGAGCAGCAACTCCGAAGACGACTACTACCTCGGCGGCTCCGACGCCGGAGAGGACGAAGCCACGGAGGAGAAGGAGGAGCAGAAAGAGACCGCCGACGAAGCCAGGAAGAGATTGGCAATGGCGCACTTGGATAGGATGAGAGATATCGCGAGGAGAGCGAAGGAAGAGGACGATGATGAAGAGGAGAGTGAGAAGGAGGACGAGAAGGGAGCCAGAGACTCCCTCGTCGCTCAGATTTTGCAGCAGAAGCAGCTCGAGGACAGCGGTCGGGTTCGAAGAAGCATTGCTTCCAGGTTTTTTTTTTTATTTTTTGGAAAATGGAGATGTTGATTTGCAAAGTGACTGTTAGGCATTTTAGTGTTGTTTTGCTTAGTGACATTGAGATTGATTAAAAGCTTTCAACTTTCGCTATCTTTGAATAAAATATTGATCTTGAGTTTACTCATTACTTGAACGATTGTTTAAAACTCTGTATACTGACATGCTAATGATATTTTAATGATTTACGTGGCGTTAGTTTTAATTTTTGTGCAATGACTAGCTATGATTAATTTAGAAATTGGGCCAATTTAAAGGGAAAGGTGGGATTTTACGTTTGAATCGTCAAATTGTAAAGAACTTGGTCAAATTTAATATCTGAGGATTATGCTTTGCTGGAATTACTTTGTTAAGAGTTTGATTTGAAGCATCGAGCACAATGCGTATCTTTGGATTAAGATTTCAACATGTTTATCTTGAATAACAACATTTGTTTGTGCGTTAGAAGTTCATAACTTTTTAGGATTATATAATATACTTAACAGTGGAAAGTTTTCTCACTTAGGATTCGGGAGCCCGAAGCATCTGATCAGTTTCAGGTATTAGTGAAGCATCGACAATCTGTTACAGCTGTGGCTCTATCAGAGGATGATTTGAAGGGTTTTTCAGCTTCTAAGGATGGATCTATTATGCATTGGGATGTAGATAGTGGGAAAGGTGAAAAATACCGATGGCCTAGTAGTGAAGTACTAAGGTCCCACGGGGCTAAGGATCCACAGGGCCGAGCTACTAAACATAGTAAAACCGTGTTGGCATTAGCTGTCAGCTCAGATGGGCGGTATTTGGCGAGTGGAGGTTCAGACCGTCATGTTCATTTATGGGATACCCGCACAAGAGAACATATTCAGGTAAACATTTTTCCAGCATTAATTACTATGGTCTTGGTAAATGAATTAAATAATTTGAAAATTCTGGAGGTTTTGTTTAAAAAAGAGCAACTTAACCAAGTTTTACTTGGTTGGATTTGGGTGACCTCGTAATTCATTAAGGTGCTTTTCTGATTCCCAAGAGCCTCTCTTGCACTGACAGATTCTGTATGAACCTCTCGAGTGTCCTAGTTCTTCTGGAATGGAACAAAAGTATCTATCATAATATGTTTTCTATGTTTGGCAATACCTTATGTTCCATTTACTCATTTCTTTTGTTTGGAAATTAATCAATTATTAGAAAATCTCCCTTGGGAATCCTTTAACTAGTAGCCTCTCTTGAATGTAAACTCTCTCCTATTGCATTAATTGACATAGATACATACTGCCTGCGCGTTTTCTTGTTGCCTTTTTGTGTTTATAACTTAAAATTTATTTCTGTTCAAAGCAATGCTTGAGAAACATGGAGATACGCCTTCATGCATGTAACAGCACTAGTTGTTCTGTGTTTAACAGGCATTTCCTGGTCACCGAGGACCGGTTTCTTGCCTAGCATTTAGGCAAGGGTCTTCTGAACTCTTTTCCGGTTCATATGATCGAACTGTCAAAATATGGAATGCAGAGGACAGAGCTTATATAAATTCATTATTTGGTCATCAAAGTGAAGTATTGACAATTGACTGTCTACAGAAAGAGCGAGTTTTGGCTGTTGGTCGTGATAGGAGTATGCAGTTGTTTAAGGTAATCCGAACTCCAGTCTTTATTATGTGTTCAATTAGATTTGGTCAACTTAAATTATTCTAAAAGGATGAGATTAAAAAAAAACAAAACAAAACCCCTTAGCTTTATTATTATTTTTTTAATGTAGTTGTCTGGCAATGTCAAAGGCAAATGTAACACTTCCCAAAGTTTCCTTTGTAGGGATAACCCACTTTTAGAAGCTCTCTGAGCCAGCTTGGGAAACTATCTACTTTCCTTGCAACAAAGTTCCATTAAAAACTGAAAAAAGTTATACGTTTATATGTCTATTAACTGCCTGGAGACCAGAGGTTGACATGTAATTATGATTTGACAATATGATATTTTCCTTGCCAGAATTTCTCTAACAACGATGTGGTCGTTTTAAGTTGTACATGTTCATGTTTGTGAACTTCCAAAGAATGGAGGAGTTCACTGCAGAAGAATTGGGATTCAAAAACACGCATACTTTTACTTCCAACTTCTCCTGTAGTTGGGTTGAGTTTTATCGACAAACTTACAGGAATTGCCTTATTTTGTAATTTTATCCCCGAGGAGTTGGGCTTTTTGTCCAAACTTAGTATGCAAGGGAAGCACTGAACTCCATTTTATTCTTTAATGCCCGTTTAAGAGACTTAATAATAATAACGATAAGCTATGAGACCTAATTGTAGTACTTGGTTGATAAAGTTTCTAGCTAATTTCCACTTATGCATTCATTTTCAGGATCCTTTTTTTTTTTTTTTTTTAACATAGGGGGTGGGTTAGGATTTAGTTCTGTTTTGTGGTTGACAGATTATGTTGTTTGTTTTCCTTTTATTTAGTTCGCTTTTTGGTTATTTTATGATTTTTTTTATTTGGTTTTTGACTTGCCTGTATTTTTGGCTAATTAGGTCCCCGAGGAGTCACGTTTAGTATTCCGTGCCCCTGCTTCCTCTCTCGAATGCTGTTGTTTTATCAGTAATGATGGATTTTTATCTGGTTCGGATGATGGAAGTGTTGAGTTGTGGAGTGTAATGCGGAAGAAGCCTGTTTGCATAGTCAAGAATGCACATGCTTTGTTCGCCGCAAACCAGAAATTTGGAGGGGAGTCTGAAAGAATCCCTAACGGCCACATAGGTAAGTATATTGTTTCCTTTTTTTTTTTTTTTGGTTTGGTGGTGGTGGGGGTGGGGGTGTGTATATGGTTAGTGTTGGAACACTTGGCCGTCACATCAATCTTCATGTTCTGTGTAACCTTGTTGAAAATGAAAATACTTCACAGTTTGTGAGGTGATTTTTGGATGTTGTAATTTGGTTACCTTGCTCTAGCTGATTGACCTGTATTCTTACCATTTGATCCCAAATGCAGAAAATGGTGATCATGCTTCTGAAAACTTTGATTCTTCATCAGTATATTCCTGGGTCAGTTCTGTCACTCTCTGCAGAGGCAGTGACCTTGCTGCATCAGGAGCTGGTAATGGTTCGGTTCGATTGTGGGCTATTGGAAGTGAGACCAAAGACATTCAACCCTTATACAACCTACCACTGGTAAGAGAAAAGGAAATGTGTCACAAATGTTCTTTACCTTAGCTCGCGTGATAACTAGGAGGGAAAAGTTTTTTATTTTATTTTAATATATATATATATACAAGAAAATGGAGATGCAAAATGAAAGTAGATATACCTTCCCTCCTACCAAAGACCAGTGTGGCTTTGCTTGGCAGTTCTTTACACCAGTCCATGTGGAGCATGTTGTGGAGAATTTAGAAGATTAAGCATGTTATGAGAAGTTCTTTTAATTAAACTAATAGAAACCCAGCTCAAAAATTCACAGCACTGAACTTGTTTATTTTTTTGGTTGATAAGAGAGGAGCTCAAACTTAAACATGTAACTGAACTTGATATGTCCTTGATTTTGGTTCACCATGCTGTGTGAGTTCATGTATGAATAACTATTGCAAAATTCGTTGATTTAGTGCATTTGTGCAAATGCAGGTTGGATTTGCGAATTCCTTGGCTTTTGCAAAATCTGGAGAGTTCCTTGTTGCTGGGGTCGGCCAGGTAATTTAAAAAAGAATAGTGCTAGGGACACCAACTGTTATACTAAGTCATAAGTCGTAAATCTTTTGTATAATATCTAATATTTGTTTACTCTTACAGTTCCATTGTAGAGTATTGAGTATTTTTAGCTTTTGAGGAGTGCATCATTTTCTTACATCTCTCAGTGGGAAATGAATTTGGATTATGTTAAAAACCTCCCTCAGTGGGAAATATATTTGCATTGATTCAGGCCAAAACCACAAAAATGTTTGTGAAATCCTCAGTCCATCTTCAGCTTCTTATAGATGTGTAAATTTTGTGAATTGTGATTTTCACTTTACGTTTTAACTGTTAGAATTTTCTGACCGCATGAATATTTGTTTGCAGGAACCTCGCTTAGGAAGGTGGGGACGCATTCCCGCAGCTCAAAACGGAGTTGCAGTTCACCCCCTGAAGCTTTCTTAAAATGGCCAAACTTTTTTGTAGCGCCCAATTTTGACGACAGTGAGTTGATAGTACAAACACAAATTTTTGTCGGTCACCTTTAATATACATATTCATTATCATTTGTTTCTCAGTAGGTTTTGTCTTCTACCAATGTATTCTTGAATTAACGGTTAGAAACAATCTGGTATCGTCAAAGAGTAATCTGACATCCGGCATCCTTTTGCATACAAGATGATAGTGAGTGGCGTTGTGTTGTGAAAAGGAACGTTGGAAATTTGTAAAGGAAGTTCTGAGCGCCAATGGTGCCGGTCAATCTGGGCCAACACTCGTACGTCAAGTAAAAGAAATGGAATTGATACTTGGCAAAAGTTCTTCCTCAGGGACACAGTGATGACTTAAAAATAAATAAATCGGATCAAATCAAATCAAATCAAATCTTCCCTGATGATATTGTGGATTTTATAATTCGTCACTCTGATAACCAAGATTTTTTTTTTGCCCCCTTGCGTCGTGAAATAATATTTGGGTAACGAATTGAAAAGTATGATATAAACTTAAAATTTTCATAAAAATCTTTCCTAAAATTACCAAGCCTAATCAATGGCGGACCTCTCTCAATGGCAGTGGTCAATTAAAAAAATAAATAAATAAGTGAGGAAAAAGATCATGGTTGTTTCTCATCATAAACCTTGGAGATTGCACTCATGGGATCTAACAAGGGAATTGGAGATGCTGGCGGAATTGGATGCCAACAACTATGGATCACTGAGATCCCATGATTACGTTGCCCGCCCGCCATGGCTGTAGACTCACCAGCATTGCAACTTAGGAGCAGTACGAGGTTGGCAGTGCAAACTGAAGAGAGGGAAGAGAAACAAAGTATTATTTTGTCTCTCATTTACAGCTCACATGCAATCTCATATGCGTCATGTTAATTTCCCTCTAAAGAGTGACAATTATCAATTGAAGTGCTTTGGCCGCTCTCAAATTCAAGGATCAAGTTGTCATCTTATGACGACAGTGCAAAAACTGGATGACATCACAAAGACTAGTCCTGTGAGTTGAGGCATTTCACAAACAATTAAAAAGTGTAGGAAAGGTAGAGGTAATTATCAAGTGATGCCCTCTTGGGCCAAGAGTCTTGGCTCTTTGGATAATAACCAATAAAGGGTATCAAGAACTTTAATTAAAGATTCAGAATTCAAATATCTCGACACTAATGGGTAGAGTTCCGTGTAGAACCGGGAAAATGGAAATAGTATTCACCTTTAATCAGTAATGAGAGAGAGAAGAGAGAGAGAGAGAGCGGGAGACAATTTCTTGGCAAAAATAAGAATGGTAATCATGGCATTCAGATAACTACCGAGATAATTTCAATCGTCAAAACAATACTACGTAAGGAAGAACTGGAATATATATTGACAGATCCTTATGAAAATGTATGAAACCCGTGAGGAATCCCGAGGTCGTTTTTGCCTAAGCAAGAAAACTATGGAGTTGATATGAAACATTGAATTACTGGCTAGAAAAGGTTGCAAATCAGGACCCTTCTTCCCTTAGAGAAGCAAACTTCTCAGGTGCGCACAGAACAATCAGCAGCCCCGTTTAACACTGCACCATCATGTCGAGCAGGAAGGCTCCATAAATACAGTTGCCTTGGCCAAGCAAATTGACTAAATCCAACTTCCCATCTAATCAATCTTGCATGAATTTCGAGTTAGCGCAGTTAAACCAATATTGAGAATTTACATCAGTTCCCTTCTACCTCGTTCTCCTTTTTATCAGATTCAGCAGCAGCTTCAGAAGAGCCTTCTTCTACTACAACAGTTGTTGCATTGTCAGCAGTGGTTGGGTTTGAAATTGGAGCCACTTCAACTGATACTTCAGGTTGAGAATGAATTGAACTTGGGGTCTCATCCTCTGGTGCTGCTGCAGAAGATTCGGCGGCAATTTCATCATCATTTACTGATGTATCAGCGGATGATGGAGAAGGTTTAGCTGCATCTGAGGATTCCGTTGGTAGCTCGCCATTTGGTAGAATATCAGTCGGTTCTCCAGAGTCTGAACTCTCCCTCCATTCAACCCACTCAGGCGGTTTATCAGTTTCTTTTGATTCCACTTCTCTTAAATCAGTGGGTACAGGGACAGTGTCTTCTGATTTTGCTTCTGGTTCTGGAGAGGATGTTGCAGTGTCAACCAATTCCTCATCTTCACCAACAATAACATCATCACCACTACCATTGACCGCACCAGTTCCCTCTGCATTAGGTGAAGGAGAAGCAAGTGACCCGGTTGAACGATCATTGGAAACTTTGTTGTCATCCTCGAAAGCAAACCAGTTTGAATTTGTAAAGAGAGAACCACTGCAAGAGGAATAGTACAACGTCAAGCCACCATGATGTTTAAGTGAACAGGAAAAGTTATAGTGGGTTATAGACCAATATTTGATGCCATTAAGTCATTTATTTAGGCTCTGAAACACTATGGATCCGATGCTAAAAGAAAAGTCAAAACAAGAAATTTAAGAAGGATAAAAAAAAGAACTTGCTTATTAGAAAATTGCGATAAATGGCTCCAATATACCAAAATCTTTTTATTATTTGGCTGCTGAAAGAGAAAGGGTTGTATGGACAGAGGGTAGCATATTCATATAGCCCCGGGGAGGCACGGCATCCCCGCATGGAATATGGATCTGTAATGAGGGAATTGCCCACGTGCCCTGAACACCGCGGTGGGATTGACTTGAACCCAGAACGAGGAGAACAAGCAGCTTTAGCACCCCATCAAATAACCAATGGTGTTTACCACAAAGTTGAAACTCGAAATTGCATAAAGCATGACTGAAAGGAGATATGTTTGTCGGCTTACTCGGCTAATAAGATACTCTTGCAAACAAACTTAAAACGTGGTCAAGGCCAACAGGATAATAACCCATTAATTCTCATATTATGACTTCTAGCTTATAGTTTCATAATAACCCCTGTCGATGAAATTCAGCGAACACAAACAGACACAGCTTCATACGCAATTTCCTTGATAGAATACTACTAGTTTAGAAGAGAGAAAAGAACAATCTTAACGTACCTTTCCTGGTCATCTCCCAACCGCAAAGAAGATATGACAACTTCAGCAGATTCATCGTCAAAGTACACATCCTGCCAAGTGTCAAATGTAAAAACTTCTCGGTTCCATAAAGCCAAAATGATGTCAACGAGAAAACTGGTACTCCACCTCAAGTGCAGTACAAACCAGCTCTAGTACTTTCTTTACTGTTAGGGCGCGTTTACCAAACCTTAAAAGAATGTAACGGGAAACGTAACGGGATTGGAAAGGAAAGTAAAGTAATAGGATTAAAGGTCATTCATTCCCTTTCAAGTGTTTACTTGACTATTAGATGGTGGAATGGGATTCCCTTTCTTATGTTTACTAATTTCGAATAGCAATCTTATGAATGTAATCACTAAAATGTCCTTTTACACAATTTGATAATCATTGACTATATAATAACTCATTAACGGTAGATAAGTAAATTTAACATCCATTCCCTTTGGCAAGGCATCAATACTAAGGGGGCTGTGCAAGGATTGACATTCCCTTTCCTCACTTCCTATATTGTGTTGGACCCACTAAATCTCCATTACTGATTTTGTAAAGTAAACACATTATTTGATGGGAATGGGAATCACTCCTCACTAGCCCTTTTCCTTTGATGCAAAGTAAACATGTCCTTAAAGTTAAGTCTTTAGCAATAAAACATTAAGAGATGTGGTCATCACTCCTTTTTCTTCAAACCAAAAGAAAAAATTTATATAAAAACATGAACGTAATTGATATATAATATATATATGAAATAGATCAGAACTGATACTTATCCGAAGCATATATATATATATATATATATATAATAATGTAATGTAATTTTTTTTAACCCTGAATACACATCTGGGGAAAAAAAAAATCCAAACAAACCAACCAAACCCAGAGTATGCCATGCCAATCGACCAAACTAGATAATCCAACTGTTAGGACCGAAGATGATTAATTGTCAGGTAAAGCAAAAAGTTACGCATGTTGGAAAAACCATACACATTATATCAAGGCTGCAGTATGACTATTTATATTAAACCTCTAGCCCAAACCCACAAAAAGGTAATTCTGAAATGAATTCTCATTGACCTGTAACTCCTTTTTATGAAGTTTACAACTCAGTCAAGCTTATTGCAGTTAGACTAATGTTTACCTCAACCAATGAAAATTGCCTTTGCACAAAAGAATAAATCACAAGCAAAATAAACAATAGAAGTGTTCCCCATACCTCATCATCTCGTTCAAGTGATCCATGGCCCTGAAAAGTATGAAAAATTTCTAGTTTAGTAAGAGACCCTCGCAAAAAAAGTTTCTAGCTTACTAAGATATCCTCACAAAATGATAACAAAGCATAATCATTACATGATCTCGGAAGCAGCAATAACTACAATAATGTCGTAAACATTATCATCACTTTTATGTGACCAAATTACACCAGGGAATGAACAAATGAAAGGGAACCTGATACAGAAGCAAGGAGCCAAGGATGTCCAAAGCGAAAGTTCATGGCAGGTGCGAGAAGAATGTGTGTGTGTGTGTGTGACCCTACAATCATTGGGATGAGGGAAACTCAGCATTCTGCCAAGTGGGTTGCCTTGGCCTTGAGGAATGGCACCCAAACTATGAGGGGAAAATCAAGGTCTTACCACTCAACAAATCCCTTGGGGATTCTCCAAGGGTAATCTATAACGAAAAAACAGATCTCAACACAGAGGTACTGCTAATTAAATAAGGGTCCTATGTCATTGCTAACCTAATTCTTCAATGCGCTCTGATGAGTTTTCATTTTCTAAATTCCCGCCGCCCTATGAAAGCTCTTTTTCCCAACTAAAATGTATGAAACACATAGGGAAAAAAGACTAGAAGGAATTTGCTAAGCACCTCATCCATATCATTGTTGCTGTAAATGCCATAACGAAAGGCTTGGCTTAAGTTATTTGCTAGAGCTGCAACATCATAATCTCTATCTTGATAATCATCATCATCACTGTCCCTGGCCCGGTCGTGTAGAGCTGTTGGCCGCCTGTTACAATAAGTGACTGATTAGATTTCTCTTAACACGAAATAAAGAGGGATCATAAAATAGAGCGAGCAAAGTCTTGTCATTAATACAAGCAACCCCAAAAAAAACGAAAGGAAAAAAAGGAGAACAATCATGGCTCTAGCTCAATGCACTTATTGCTGTACACAAAAAACAAACCCTTGCGATCAGGTAGTTTTGGGAAAATAGATCCCCAACACTGTAAAAGAATATAAAGCTATAGAAGCCAAGAAAAGGACAAGAAAGAGACTAGGCTGCCCAGAAAACAAAGGACTTAGAAAAAAAAAAAAAAAAAAAAAAAAAAAAAAAAAAAAAAAAAAAGAGGAAAAGAAAAAGAGAAAGCAACAACAACAACAACCAAACAAACAAACAAAAGGTCCTTTAGGATCAAGTTAAGAATCATGCAACCAAAAGATAATGCATTGGCCATCTAAGGTTCAAAAGGACCTAGAAGGTGATCACTCATAAAGAAACCACGTCTGCATCCTATATGTGAAAAAAGTTTGTACACTTGATTTTTGCTCAAATGTGAAATAACTCAAATTTTGTCAAATGTAAGAGAACAAGGCCACAAGTCTAAAGAAAATAACATACCCACAAGCCCACTGGTAAACGTTTTCCACAGCATTACGCTTTGATAGGACATTGGTATGATCAGACCATTCGCTGTTTTCCTGCAAAAAGAAAAATAATGTCCCAAAAACAATAGTAAACACAAAAACAAAACAAACCAGTATTTAGACTAGAATGACAACATAAGCATTAAAAAAAGTGACCCATTGCTATTACTCTATTTATTTTTCTTTTTTCCAACACTCTCCAATAAACAATGATACGAAAAAGATGCTTGCAAATACAGATTTGAGAAATAGAAACGAACCTGCAGATAAGCTTGAATTTCACTATTTGTGTTTGCAAGTTGAACAAGTTTGTTGGAAATTCGTGTCAGATGTCCAATATTCCCTATTCTGGGTGGTGATCTACCCTCAGCAGGGACCGTTGGCTGCAGGTAGAATCATCAGCACATTCAATCACACTTGAACATCATCTTTGAGTAATATCAATAAACAAGAAGAGACATACTATGATGACGAATTATATTAGGATTTTTTAATTTAAATTATATTGTTATTTTTTAGGGTATATTTTATCTTTCTTTTAATTTTAAATTAGGATTATGTTTTATCTCATAGGATTATTTTTGAATTGGTTGAGTTTATTCAATCTTTTGATGATTAATAATGAACCACCTATTATTGAGGAACCCCCTCTTCCAAAATTCATTGAATTCAATTCCTCTAAATTGAAAGCGGATCTAATGCATATGTACTTAAATTTACTTCTAATTTAATTATGGAATTAATTTTCAATGAGGTAGAATGGTTTATTTACCGTGGGGAGCCGAGCACAAGCCTCGAGTGTTTTCTTTGTTCTCTCAACAGAGAAAACGTGTCAACAATTGACTACCCAGTGACTATGGCTCGTTTCAGAATCAAGTATTGAGATGGAAGAATTTCTTGCGCCTTTAGATTATTGCTTCATGATGCCTTAGAGTTTCTTTAACCCGGAGAGAGATGACAAATTAGATTAGGATTCTTGAATTTTAATTATATTGTTATCTTTTAGGATACATTTTATCTTTATTGTAATTTTAAATTAGGATTATTTATAAATTGATGGAGTTTATCTTTTAAATGTCTACAAATATATTAGTGATTGTAATTTTATGCAGGCTTTGGATGATTAATGATATTGAGATTATTGGTTTCTCCCTATTGAGTTCTTGTTATCCCTCTATTTCCTCGTGATTATTCTCCTCTATCTTGGTTCTATTTCTTCCTCTTGATTATGTTCCTCTCTCCCTATTCTTTAATCTATCCCAATCCTACATCATACTATCTATCGAACTTGCACACACAAGCACACAGAGACAAAGGCATAATCCTGGTGAATTATAATCATCAATACAAAGAAAAGAAATGGACCTTGTTTGAATCAGCCGCCAATGTGAAATTCTTTTCGGCTTCAAGTATCCTCCCAACAAGATTACAGTCACGAAGCAGATGTTCTACAAGTGGAGCATTCTTGCTCTCCAAACATGATATTATAATGTTCTCTGTGTGGTGATGCACAAAGTTATTGAATGGGTACCTAGAGTCACATTATAAACCAAGAAATATGATAAAGATTAAGATTTTTTTTCAAAATAAGTAGGTTAAGATCCAAATTAAACGGCTGGTCAACAAACAAAGAACTTTTAAACTAACTCGAACCAATTCTAAGCTTACTCAAAGAACAATTCTAAAATTCTTTGCACAGCTCCAAGACTAATCAATGCCTTCTCAGCAGCTTCACTGCTAACAGTCAGTAATACCGAAATGAACTCTACAATCTGCAAAATTCAGGGTTCAGTGCAAAGCGGCATGGATACACAAATGCTTACCATAAGCACCAATAGACGTTCTAATTACGTACTTTAAGATAAAAAAATTACAATGCCATAGACTCAAGGTATAATGCGATAGACTCAAGGATGTTCACAATATCAAAAGTCCATGCAGAAGAAAAGGGAAAGATTAATTAGTAATTATGATAGATCAGGATATACCTTCAAACGATGTTTCCCAAGAGGGGGCTGTAGCTTGCCATATGTGGTTAGCAAGATGTTGTCTGCAGATGAAACATCTAAAAGCTTGAGTAAATCACCTGCAAGTAAACTACTGATTAGTATTTGACTAGTGATAAAATGGAATCAACACTTTACGCACGTTGAGATGGGGCGGGGGGGGGAAGCAATTAAATGTACTGTTGAATAGCTAATAAATGATAATGTAAATATTGTAAAGGTAGCGACTTTCGTTTTTGGCACTTCTAAAAGATAGTTTGTTAGCAAGGCTACAGTGGAATAATGCTTCACACAGAGAGAGACATGGGAACAAGAGCTATAATTACTCAGATAGGAAACCAACACAAGGAGCCAAACTTACCTAGACTCTCCAGCATGCCCTCAACTGTCTCAGGATTAGCGGTTACAGTTGATCCATGAATCATTTGACGACCAAACATATGATAAGTTCCCAAGGTTAATCTCTTAGGGTCTAACAAAGAGATGCATATCGACAATGAGTTAATTAAAACAGAATTTGGCCGTGATTCCTCCAAAGCATGACGAAACAACCTTCCAACAAAACTGCATACACCAAAAATAAAATCTGTTTAATGGGGAAGTTAAAGCAAAAATGAATGTACACTAAATATAAATGGTACCTTGGACTGGAGATTTTTGCAGAAAGTCCAGCAGGCGCAAAACGTGTTATAGAACAAAGAGTTTCCGCTGCATTAGCATGTACTTCAGGACAATCCTACATAAATCATGTTAGATGAATTGCTTAAATCTTTCTCAAAATAATTTAGATTTTGGGTATTAAATTTATCTATTTAAAACAGTAAAACACAACATGATAAATATGCATAACCGGTACAGTCCCATAAAGATTAATTGGGCGTTGGCCTTTTTCATGTAAAGGAGGGGAAAAATCTTTCAAATATGACTAGCAAGATGCTGCGTTATGATAGAAAACCTGATTGCATCATAAACAGGAGTAATTTTAAAGGCAAGATATGCATAGATAAAAATTTCAATTATACAACAAATTCATATAAGAATCCCATCTTCATGTCTTCAAAGTTCATAAACCAGGATTGACAAATTGGAAGCACACTTACTGATTCCTGTCAGAAAACAGTAAATAACCAACACAACTTCATAGGAACTATCACACAGACTGAATAACGAGAAGTTGCAAAATGACAAACAACAAGCACCAGGGGATTATATTAAAAAATAAAAATAATAAAAAAGAATTTTTTGATATAATTTCCCCCGTTTTTGGGAAAGAGAAGGGCAAAAACTTGCATTTGCTTTACCCAAAAAAAAAAAGAAAGAAAAGAAAAGAAAAGGTCACGCGAGTATTAAAACCCAAGTATCAAATAACTCCAAAAGGGACGCTAAAATAGTAAAAGTAAACATTACAACAATTGATGGATACTACTCTTTCCTCGCAACAAAGAGAAAACATCAGTTTCATCACAAAAACAAGTACATTCCTGTATTCATGAAACAAAACTCCTTTCCTTAAATGAAAAAGATAAATTTAACATTCATAGAACAAAAAGTTAGAAGTTGAAAAGACCTCTACAGATAGCCACAACTGTTAAATCTAGTAAAGCACAGCTTGTGTACAATTAAAAGTACTTACTGAAGAACTGAATTTGTCAACAATCATCTCCAGCACATCAGTATCTTGTATCCACTGCATTGCTTCCGTATAATTTGAGTACATATGTTCATCAGCACCAATCAACCGTATCAAGACCTAAACAAGGAAAGAGGTTATCGTTTACCAACAATAGACCAAGTACAAGAGCAAAAGGAAAAAAGAAGAGAGACGCAAAAACTAAAACCACGAGTTTTCAACTTGGTATAGGAGCCATAAGAAGTCTGATTATTGTCTACGATCGGGTATTAAGATGGAGAACAGCAAGTACTAAAAATAAAAATAAAATAAAAAAAGATGAGCAATCGACCTCCATAATGGATGTGATCCCAATCAGATCAACTAGCTTTTGGACAATTTCCCGATGAGCCTGGATAACCACATGATCAAATTAGGAACAAGTACAAACACATCTAAGAGTAGTAACTGGCACAAACAAAGAGCTACCTTTAAACATGTCAATACTTTAAGCATATACTCAAACACCAGCAGCATTTTCTCTCTCATCCTTTTTGAATTAAGAATACTATCTAATGTTAAAGGCAATATTTGCGCTTGGTGAATCCACGAGTGTACGCAAATCAATTATTCAAAGAAGGTTCTATCAAACAACTATTGTTATGTCAGTTAGTCTTGTCACTTAGCCATGCAGTGTTTAACAAGCAACTGTTTCATTGAGAAATTAGGAAAAGGATGCACATCAAGGAACAGTTTACAACTAACGATAAATGATAAATTATTATCTGCATAAGCCTTTCACAAATCATACTGCACACAGTAAGGTAAAAACTTCATAAAATTATATGACAATGAACTTGGATTATTTTGAAGCTATAACTGACATGGAAATAGATAAGCCACACAAATATCTAAATCAAGATGGGTATATCTGAGGAGAATAATAGGTAAAACAAAAGATGGAAGAGAAAGTAATCACCATTCACCATGTACGTAAAAAAACAAATATAGGAATCAAGTTTCTTACTTGAATATAGTTCATAAATGGAACCGTCTTGCGCAACAGCAAGCATATGACAACCTAGAAAGAAATAAGAGGCAAGGTGAAAGACCTCAAAAAGGATTCACAAAGTAACATCATCTTTCCTGCCCAGATATGGACGTAAATATCAGCTTAAAAACATAACAGAAGAGTACCTTGCTAAAGTACCCAGCAAGAAGCGTGCTATGAGAGTGTTTTGGTTCCAAAAAGGAAAACAACAGGTTCATCAACTGCCAACAAGAAAGCATAATTAGTAAGAAACAACTGTTTTAGGGTGACTATTGCAAGAAGTCAGAGAAAAAAATATGCTGAATAGTTAAAGCTTCTAACCTCCTCATCCTCTACCAACGTTTTGAGAATGATATCAACTTCACAAGTAAAAATCTCACAGGCAATAAAAGGAAATCTGTGTACACAATGAAATTTGCAAGATCAATTATTTACATGAAAAAAGCTTCAGAAAAGATATTTCAATACTGTTTCAAAAGAACGTACTTAAAAGTTCGCCTCTTTTCAGCATCTTCAGGAGATTCTTCGACAATATATCGCAGAAGCTGTTCAACCTGGACTCTTTCTCTCAAACTGGAACATAAAACAGTGGGAGAGGCAACTTATATAAAATTCTTCTGTAGAAAATTGAGATGCTACAAAGATTCCAGCAGTTATTCAGTGTTCAGAGACATAAGACTACAAACAAAAAGTTTGTAGAAAGGTATATACATTTCAAAAGATTTCGACGTGGGTTTAACATGTTAGGTTCGAAGTCTAAATTTTTAGTTCATTCATTAGAGGAGGAAAAGGAAATGGGGGTAATCAATATTTTAAAAAATTCAAGATGTAGAAATTCAGAATCCTTAGTTGAAGCTTCCAAGTTGTACTTTACTTTTAACTCAGAATTCCATTCAAATGTATTAATAAAAAAGTGCACTTTCTATAAATGCTTAGAAGGACCATCCTACAATTGCACTGAGCATTACATAAATAACATACATCGTCACTCTCAGCAAAAATATCAAATAAGAAAAAGAAAAATCAGTGGAAAGAAAGCAATATACGTATTGTGGAACTAACAGAGCATTACAAGTTGATAAGGCGCCCATTAAGAGCTTTACACTCTTGAATGATTTCGTCTTCATCTAGAAGTTCCTCCAATGTGAAATTGTCTTTGTCCAAAATTGTCTCCACCTACAATGTGAACACAAATGAGGAAATAATGACCAACTAGCATAATTAAAAAATATCCAAATTGCAAACAACTCTACTTAAATGCATAAAATAGTAAACAAATAACAAGCAGAGGTGATACCAGTAGATCAATGTCAACCTTAAAAGAAGGGCACGGGACAAGTATTGAAATCAAATGCACTAATTGAAATCAGCAACTTGACCTTATGGAACATCAATCCAACTAGTTGGACCGCCTTTCTTCCATTCAACCCATAAATAAAATTTATCCATTGTGGATTGACCTTAACCACTCAACCACAATAATACAATACCAAATAGAATTTGCCACACAACCACAATATGGTAATACCAAATAGAACATAAAGTTCCTTTTGCCCCAACCTAATATGTACCCTGCAATATCTAAGCTTGAACTACATTGTTTTCTTTTTAAGAGGATGGTCAAAATGTCAACATGCGTAATCAGCAGAGTGCCAACAAGGCTATGATTCTAATCCTTGTGATCAGCGATACAAAAAGATTTACTTAGAAGGAAACACTAGTAGGATGGATTTTCTTTATTTTTATGAAAGGCGTGATAACACGAATCAAATAGAGCATTGCAATATAAACTGGCTGTTTCCAATATCACGTGCTAAACACTAAATTCATTCTAAACTCCTGCACGCCTATAAGCATTTTTATCCTTACCAACCCTGATCTAGTCCTAGAGATCTTCCAAAATCACCTGTTATACACAACCCGCGAAGATACAGAAACATATAACTTTCCCAAACTATCTCTTAGGTCCTCGGCTTGTCTACGATCTCTTTTCAATTATAATTCTACTCAACTAGTTGCAAAATATTAGGGTAGTCCATATTTTCTCAGATACGAAACTGGCATGTTTAACCAATACCCCAGACTCCAAAAGTTACTTTCCAATGGTCTAATTTCAATTTCTGGACTAGAATAGGAATTATAAATAAATTCACCATAAAAAAATCCCTGGAATAGCAGGTTCACCAAACCAAATGTAATATAATTTTTACTATTGTTTAAGACTAATCACACTTGTTAAAGCAGCAAACTTTCTTCAAAGTAAAGTCACTGCAATAATTTACTTCACTTGACCATTAATCCAATTTCGAAGTCAATAAGTCCTAGTAAAAGAAAAACAATACCAAAATTCAAACATAATTGCAACCTTACTATCAAACAACATAACTACAACAAACTTAGAATCATATTTCCAAATTTTCCATCAGATCCAGCATTTTCTCGGCAATCAATCAGAAAACCAAAGCAAATGAAGAAACCAAAAGGAAATCAGCCCAAACCAAATCAATCACTGTTACATATGAGCACGACAAAAGAGGGAAAAAGAACGCACAGGAGACGCAGTGGACAATCCCGCCATGCGCCAAAACATGTTGAATTCCTCGAAGAAATTGCCTCCACAAGCCGAAGAGTACTCAGATCTACAGAACCCCCGGGGAAACCCTAGCGAGTCGCCCGATTCACGGCACGGGGATTTCAATCCAATCGGAGCAACGAACAAAGAAAAGGATCCAATCCGAGCATGCGAATAACGAAAACCCTAGAATCCGGAAGAAGGGAGATTCAATTGAATTGGGATCGAAGGGAAGGAATTTGAGGAGAGGAAAAAAAAAAAACAAAAAAGGAGAGAGAAACCAAGACACCTGCAATCGCGGGAGGGAGGGGTGAGAGTTGCTATGGAGATGAGAGTGTACGGCTGGAATGCAAAATTATATTGAAGAAAAAAAAAATTGTGTTATGTATTATTGGTATAGTTTCCTTTTCTTTTCTTTTTCTTTTTTTTTTTTTTGTCTCTTGGCAGCTTATGGTTTAAAAAAAGATTATGGGGGATTTTTTTTAAGTTGGCCAAAAAGATAAGTTGCAAAGGGAATTTCTTGTATTGGATTAATGTGGCAAAATAAATATATTTGAAACTTTTTGAAGAAATAAAAAAATTAGGCTATTTGGAGAAATATATAAAGATTTGGGCATGGAAATGGAAAAGGAAAAGGAGACAAGAGGAGATACCAAAGGTTTTTCTCGGGTATAGCTGCTCCTCTAAAGTTGGAAGATTGTTGCTCTCCCACTTGGTTTTGGCACAATAGTTGTTGTCAACAACAACTTCAAGCCATATATCATTATTAGTTTATTATTGTGATAAAATCATTTTGGTACTTTATGTTATACCAAAATATATTCTTAATATTATGTTTTTAGTAATATTAAAATGGTACCTAACGCAAAAAGCTTGATAAAGTTTTTTTGTAAAGGAAGTCATTTCTTTTCTCTCTCTTTCTCTTTCTTAGAGTACGAAAGGAAGCTGTGGTTTTGGCCGGAGCTTCAGTTCTGCCTCCAGGCGCGTCGCCAGGCTTCCGACTTCAAAGTTTGGTCTTCATATTCTTCTCGACGTCGATTTTCTCGTGATAATGGCTGTGTGTGGAGCGGTGCATCTCTTAAGGCGGATTTAACCTGTCTTGGAAGTTGGTTGCTTCTCTATTGGACAGTCATTTTCAGCGTGTTCATCAGGCATGGTTGTACTCCCATAGTGTATTGATCCACATGGTGGAGAGATTTTCTGGGAGGCGGTAGTTTCGTTCTTCGTTATTTTTCTGGGATGGCTCTGTTTAGATCTAGCTTCCATTTCAAGGCCGATGGTTTGCTGGCGGTGGATCTTTCTTTTGTTTAGTTGTAATAAGGGCATTGATGTTCCCGCCCCTTTAGTGTGTTTTTTTTTTTGTTTTTCCTCTGTTTTTTTGTTTCTATAATAACAGAGGCGATGTTCTCCGCTCATGTCCCCACCCCATTTGTAAAACAGTGTGGTGTATGTTTTCTAGCTAAAGTTCCCTCTACGTTGTGGTGTGATTGTCCCTCTTACGTGGGGTTTGGTCTGGTCGACTATGCTAGTCCATTGACTATTTTGGTGTTGTTTAACGAGCAATGGTCACACTCAAAGTTGTGCGGGTCTTTCCCATTTGTGTTTTGTGTAATTTGTTTTTTGTGAAATGAAATTCTCCATTTTAAAAAAAAAGCACCTCAACATTTTTTAAAACATCTTCCTAGTACCATGTTTTGAAATGTAAAATAACTGAAATATCCTTTTATTTATATAATTAAAAAATGAATAAATTTAAAAAAATGAAAATTTTTTGAAAATTTTAAATTTTGAAGAAGAAAGTATATAAAAGAATATAAAAAACAATGGGCCTGTTTGTTTCCGTTTTTGTTTCCATTTTCATGGTTTTCGAGAATAAAAATTGAAAACACGTAGAGAAAACGCGTTTGGTGTAAAATTTTCTAAAATCAAAACTGAAAACACCGTTTTTATTTTCTCCTTTTTTCTCATGTTTCTGAAAACGAATTTTTTCCGTTTTCATTTTTCTTGTTTTCATGTATATAATCATGTTTATTTAATATAGTTAATAATAATATTTATTTAATATATTATTATTTTAAATATTATTACATGTTTTTAAAAATTAAACCACCAAACACAATTTCAGTTTTTTTTTTAAACTGAAAACAATCTCGGAATAAAACTAGCAAACACATTTTCAGTAATGATTCCAAAATGAAAATGAAAACGTTTTCGTTTTCATTTTCATACAAAAAACTAAAACGTTTTGGAACGAATTCTAAACGCACCCAATCTCTCCTTCCTGTGGCACACCTTTCCCTCCCGGTCGGCACCTCCTCCCTATCTTCCTCGTGAAGAAAACATTCAATTAAGGTAATTATTTTTGTAAAATTTTTAATTATTATGCAATAAAAATGTAATTATGTAAATTAAATTTTAAAAATTATTTATCAATTATAATATCAGTGATAAAAAAATGTCAAAAAAAAAAGATCATAACATAATTTGTTAAATTTTAAAATTAAGAGACTAAAGTGATTCGGTACTCGTAATTTTGTGATTAATAATGTTTTAGTAACCTTTAAATTTTAACGCCCACCATATTGCCTATGTTGCAATTCGAGATAACCTAATAGCAAATAAGAGGTTGTACCCTTCAAATAAGAAAATAAAAGAAATTAGGTGGCTTTTTAAAATTATATATATATATACACATATTTATTTATATCCATATTCCTTTTTCTCTTTCTATTTTTTTCTTCTACCAAACATAGTATAAGATCTCTATTTTTTACTATGAGAATAAGTTTAACAATTTTCTTTAAACGTTATTATTTAAAGATATATATATATATATATGTATATACGTGAAAAGAGCAAACACGAAGGCTCTTAAAACAAAAAAAAAAAAAGAGCAAAGGAAAATGCATTGTTTGTTTCTCTAAACCAAATATGTACTGTAATCTAAATCCAAACTGTAATCTCCCGTTCACTTCGCTGATTCGAGTTTATAATTCGAGTTGAGATGTGATTTTGTATGAGAGCTTTTTACTGTAGTAAAAAAGTTAGATGTGACTGTTTCTGAGAGTTTTTTACTGTAGTAAAACTCAAATTTTAAACTCGAATCGGCGAAATGAACGGGGTCTAAATCCAAAAGAAACGTATTTGTTGTCGCATGCTACAAGACATAGCGTTTGACTGACAACAACATGATAATTATGAACTTGGGGGTAAAAATTAGGAATTAGAAAAATAGATATGGGCTTTTGTTTTATTTTGATTAAGAAAAAAAAAAGAAAAAAGAGAAAAATAGGCTAAGATTTTAGATGAATTAAAATTAATAGGCCAATAATTTACATACGTTAATAAATAGGCTAAATTATTTTCGTCAATAACTTGTCTGGTTATAAATCATAACTTACCAAGTTATTGTCTATAATTGTCCATAACTTATCTAACCATAACTTGACAAGTTTATCCATAACTTATCTAGTTATGAACCATAACTTGACAAGTTATGACATATTAATTTTTATAATTAAAAATTAACTTATATATTTTCTTAAACTTTTTATATTGACATATTTTCTATTATTTCTAAAAAAAAAAAATTGCGTTGGGTCAGGTGAACAGTACCGCGTGGGCTAGAAACTCCATTTTAGAGTTGCAAAATGGCGCAGGGTTGGAAAAGCCCATGCGCCAGATACCTCCTCCAACCAAATAGTAGGGTGGTCATTTAAGGCTTAATTTAGTTTACTTAAAACGGAGATTCAGAATCATAATTTAAAATTTTTTTTATTTATATATATTTTTTATAAGAAAAAATATTATAATAAATTATAAATTATAATTTAAATTATAA